TTGCGCAGAAATCTTTAATTTTTTTCTCAAATTATTTAAAGTTATTGCGCCTCTTGACAGTACTTACAAAATTTCGAATTTCACTAACACAATCCCACTACCGGTTTTTCTCGAAATGTGTACAATGACCTTTTCATCACGGCGATGAGACAAAAGTTTCAAATTACGTTCATGAAATTGTAGGGTGTTTAAAACGCATTTACTTTCTCCATTCAACTTAGGATCTAACTTGAGAAAAAATTGCAGATCGTCCTAGCCAAGCCACGTAGGACAACTGCAATTTCGCATAGTCGAGGCGAAATTGATCAGCTTAGCGAGCCCTCTGAAACTGCCTTCCATCGCAGCGGTGTCAATTATTGTTCTCGGGAATACGGGAAAATAATCTTTGTGCTGTGACACTCTTCATTTGGAGAAACGCGTAGCATATCAACATATCCTAAACGTCAGAAAAAAGCTCTATAAATTGAATTTGACAGCGCACCAAGCATCAATAGTTGAACTGAGGTAAGAATTTTCTTCACTAGCAACGTTCACGATTTTTTAAATGATAATTGCATGTACGTGCGTTGATGAGAACATTTACCTCTCATTAATGGAGTGGGAAAGAGGCAAAGTGTGTAAAGATGCATATAAATGCGATACCGGCTTCGATACTTGGCATATTTATTTTGGTTTTGGTGCACAAGATTACCAAATGTAGAATACTGAAGGAAAGAGCCACTGCGTTACTAGGATTTTGATTCCCGGAAAGCTTCTGCGTAGGAAGCGATCGATTTCGCAACTCCAAGACAAATATTGCAAACAACAGACGGTGATTGCTACCATGGTATCGCTGAACCGTAAAAGTGCATATTTACTCCATTGCCTCCTTAACAACTTCAGTGCAGTTTACTAAGAGTATATTGCAGTCTGCGAGTGCGATCTTAGTCAGGTTTGTCCTGCACTTCACTTTGTTCATCCGATTGCTTTTTCTCCTTCAGGCACATCTTGCTTACGATAGTGTATGTGTTTCAGCGTACAAATCGCTGCCGTGCTTTAATGTATAAGTCAGTTACAGTACAAATGTTTGTTGCTGTTGCTGTAGGAAAGTTTTTTTGAAGTGACATTTCATAACAAGTTGTTTAGGTTAAAATTTTATAAGAATTTGGGATTTTAGATTTTGATGCTTTCATACTCAGTGGTATAGTAAAGTAGTGAAATTGTTTTCTTACTGCTGTTATTAGGTACTCAGGATAAAATGAACTCTTCTTCCTTGGTATTTACATCAGTGATACTGCATGTTATCATTTCATATATGTGTGGAAAACATGCATGTTTTGCGTACCGCTGGAAGGCTTCACCAGACAACTGTACATGCATCCGCACTGGCCTTTCAACTTACAGCTTGTTTTCTCTTCGAGGACAAAGGTGATTCATTAATAACCATTTAAGCAAGATTAGTCATTGACTTAAGATAACCGCTACATGAAAACTTAATAAAATTCGATTTTCCTTTCTTTCTTCAATTTATAGCCAAGGTTATAGTTAAAGAGATCCTCATACCACCTAAAAATAGCAAAGAGCTTATTCATGTAGAGATGTGAGAGAGTTAAACAGGTTTTACTATCCGATAGAAAGTATAAGTAAGGGCTAAAAACACAATCATTATACGTCTACATATATAAATGATTAGGAAACAGAGTATTACGGTACATCTTCACCGCAGCTGGCTGTCGTAGCTTAAACGCTTGAGGTTTATTCATTCAAAATAGTATGTTGAAGTTGAGAGATGTCAACAAGAAATGAATTTAGAGGAGGAGTGCTAATGGCTATTGCTTGGACAACATTTTGCGCTCCATTTTCTTAATGTATCAATGACTTACGCAATGTTTCCTCAAACTATGAATACTCAATACATTCAGTTTACGAAATGTACCTTAACATTCATTTAAATCGTCATGGGCCAGCACTTAAATATATTTTCAGTTTTGGGATGGCGAAGAACTGCTCTAGTGAAGGGTTGTAGATTGATTGAATTTATCTTAATCAATTGGTATCAATTTAGATCATGACAATATGGCCATATATACACTCAATAACAGGCTGAGCTCTTTAATTTGCTTTGCTTTGACATAGAATTTATGGGTCAGGATTTCGCCAACAGCAAAGTTACACATACTCCTTCATGCCTTGTGTGCCCGATAATTTGCACTCACGTGAGGGAAATTGCACAAACGTGGCAGTAAGTAATCCTTTATTTCTGGCTTAAGATTGTTTCAACTGATTTTTTTTATAATTTCCACCAATGCAGATTAGTTCGTTTCGAGCTCAAAGAAAGCGAAACGCTGGCATGTCCGAGCCCATGTAAATTTGATAAGGGATCACGAATCGACACCTGCTGTATTCGAATGTTGCCTAGTCATAGACCCCAATTGATCTTACTCAAGCAAATTCTGTGTCTCTAGATTATCTCAGACTTGTTACCACTACAACCGCTATAACATTCATGGACAAGGTCTTTTCACTGCAGACTTAATGAAGACACATTTTTTTTTCTTGAAAAGAACTAAGGCTTCCACTTATAGGTAAGTTACTCAGACTTGTAACAAAAACACAAGTTAGGGGTTAATCATTGCTTTACAGCTTATTGATTACAAAATTATATAAAGCCTTAATTCAATTGTAGCTATGTAAATACGACACGGATGGAATTCCACCTGTGTTCACAGACTTGGGTGAACAAGGAGATGTTATGTGCGAAGAAACAGATGAATACAGATTTGCACTAATATATCCTATAAAGTGAGTGTAGTCTTGTTTTTATTTGGTCGATTTAACCTCCCTTTTCATCGTCTCGTTTTAATTTCCGTCTATAGACGGGGTCATTAAGCTAAATAGCTGGAGTTTGAACCGAGTTAAAGATTTATCATTTTCCTTTTTCAGGAAGAGTCCTCACTCAATAAGTCACTCCAAGGTTGTTGTCGAATGCGATAATGATCCTCATGCAAAACCTGTGTTAAGTCTAATAAGCGAGGAAAGTTTGGTAAGACATCGAGTTCGAGAAATTATAAATAGTTTCGAAAATAATC